ACGGGGAAAGCTGGAGGTGGATTGTTGACATGGGGGTGCGGATGCTGACGTTGCAGGATACGGTGACAAGGAGATTGAGAGACGTCGCGGCGGCAATACGTCTGCCAAGTAGTGTAGCCGACGATTCGTTGGCGCTCCTGGACCGATGTATCGAGGAGGACGATTGGGGGTCTGGGAGGTGGTCGGAGATTCTCTCAGCTGCGTGCATGTACATTGCCATTCGCCAAGCCAATCTCGCGATCACGGTCCTCGAAGTTGCGGTGCGTCTTCCTCTTCCTCTTTTTCTATACCCGCGCCCCCTCCCCCTCTTCCCTCTCTTGCCCCCCCCTTCTCTTCCCCCTCTGCCCCCTCTTCCTCCCTTCCTCCTCTCTTCCTGCTCCCCCTCTTCCCTTCCTTGCTCCCTGCTTCCGGCTCCCCCTCTCGTCCCCTTAAACCCGTTTCCGATTCTTTTTCTTCCCCATCTTCGGGCTCCTTCTCGTCCCCCTCCTTTTCCCCCTGTCCCCCCTTGGTCCTTCGGCTCGCGCTCCTCCCTTCCCTCCTCTCCCGTCTTTCCCTTGTTCCACCCTCTCTTCGCCCGGGGGGGGTCTCGACACCACCCCGGCAATTCCTCTGTTCGCGTTTCACAATTTCTCTCTAAGATTCAACTCGGGAAAGTCCCCTCATGCAACTATGCTCTACCTATGAGCTGCCCAGCCCATGTACACTGTTGCTGCTGTTATACCGACGCGAAGGAAATCATCAATCTCTGCTTGTTTTTGTTTATGCCTTTCAAGTTGCATCGTATCAGTCCAAAAATTGAATCAAAATCGATCAATCAGTTTACTATAGTCAACTCAAAATTCTGCAGGCTGTTGAGGGTTCAGCCTCCTGATGAGTCGGTGAAACTCCGACGAAACAGTTTGTCACAGCCCCTCGTTTGTTGTCCTCTTCTCTCTCTCTGCCTACGGTTTACCGGGCAGTTCTGTTTGTGACGATATATAAGAGGTGATGAACAGGTGGGGCTTTCCTTCGTTCTTTTCCTTTCCTTGTTTTGTTTTTTTTTTCTTTCGCGCTCTGATTCACAGAGTGACGACCCCGCCAGATCACATCTGGCTTTCCAGTGGTGACCGATTCGGATCTGCGGGCAGACCTACCAAATTCTTGTGGTTTGACAGCCACAAATGTCTGCCTACAGGCTTATCAGCGTCAACGTTATAGTGCATCCCAATTTCTTACGATTGCGTATCAGCTTGACGCTGTTGAAAATCAGTTGTTGCTTGACCATAATAGTCCACCTGCAGAAGGTAGTAACTATACTACCTCAGGAGGCTTTACTGTA